TGCAACTGTCTGGACTAAAATTATTAGTGCAGCTGAGTGTAAACTTTGAGTACCACCACATAATTGTCAATTACATTCCAGATTTCCTCACTTTGTTAAACAAGGGAAGTGTCAAAACCAAGTTTTATGTTTTAAAAGTGTGTTTGCACTTGTCTAAAAATCAAGCAAATACAAGAGAACTGATCAGTGCCAAAGTGTTGCCACCATTGGGTGCGCCCTTTAACAAAAATGAATCAAAGGCCAATATTCTTAATATCATTGAAATATTTGAGAATATAAATTTCCAATTTAAAAAGAAGGTGAAGCTATTTAGCAAGGAAGAGTTCACAAAATATGAACTTATTTCCATATTTCAGGGAGCAAAAGAGTTTGGTCAGAAACTACAAGACTTAGCAGAGCACAGTGATCCCGAGGTGAGAGATAAAGTTATAAGATTAACACTCAAACTCTGAATAGCTGTATGTTCTCACAAAACCTTTAGCAATTTTTTTGGTGTTGTAATATGAAACCAATGCAACTTATAAGTTAAGTATTTATGCTATCTGTGCTGATTGAAGGAGCTAATTTTATGGATCCCAAATGATCTTGAGAGCTTGAATGTTTGTTGGTTTTCTTTGTGCTATATAAGTTCAGATATTTTTAGTATTTTTGCAATGTGACCTGATAATGAACCTATTCATCCTGAGTAAGTTATACTTCTGTGCTTTATATTAACATAAGTGTATTCATTTAATATTTCAATTACATGTGAATAAAGTTGCATGCTAAAACTGGTAAAAAAAAAAAAAAGAGTAATATGTTGGGGTCCTTTAATGGACTGGGACCTGGTGGTCTGGAGTCAATGATAAGAAAGTGAAAGAGAGAGCCGGAGGGGGAGAGAGAGAAAGAGAAAGAAAGAAAGACATGGGGACCCAAGCTCTGGTGGAGCAAATGTGCTTTAATGATTTTTCTGTGAGTATATATAGGCTGTAGTACAAGAAATTTCTTTCGATAGTGATAAAGATCAGAAAACCAAACGTACAGTAACTGCTACCAAGGGAACAAAGGATAATAATGGTCACAAGGTCAGGAGACAATCCATATCTCAAGAAAGGGGGGTGAGACTAAGCAGTTTTG